GCATCTTTTAAACAAGAAATGCATGTACTAGTCCTTGTTGAGTTCTCTCTACTACTTGTGACATGCTATAGATAAGTACGCTTGTCCCAACTGGCCTCATTACTCACTTAAGTAACTTTATGAAGGGTTCTTTCTCACTTTCTTTTTTCTATTTCAGGTTTGGCGAGAATGATTAGACTGGACCAAGACTCACGCAAGATTAAGAAAGTTGCTTTAAAGTCATAGCTGAAATTGTAGCTTTAAAAGCGTTAAATAAACTTTTTTGGTTCAATTGACATCCTTGTTCTCTTTTTTATTTCATTTTATTTATTTATTTATCCGCTGCAAACCGCAAGCTACACAATCCACATCACAGTTGACTAAATTCTGAAATAAATGATTTGAATATTTTCATCTTGTCCCAAACGTTTATCAGCACGCTTTATCACTACTTTCCTGCGGTATCAACCTTTAGTGGCAACATGAATGAAAGAAAATAATGCTAGGTTTCCAAAAACCACAAAAGTCATATATGACTAAATATTGTGATACTTGATCGGAAAATAAGATAAGAAATCTTCAGTCCATTCTTGTAGGTGATAAAATAGAAATGAAACTGAACTAGAGGCTTGAGTTAGTCGCGAGGCTGGGGAAACGTAAATAATTTGGAGTGATTTTTATCAGGGTTGAATTTAATTCCTCATTATAACTATTATACAAGCTCTTAACTCCAAGGAATAAGGCAGGATAAAGCGGCACCTGAAAATAAAGATCGTATTAATTATCCTTTTGTATATTTGATGAGTGCATCACTCATCGGTTTATGGTGCATCACTCATCGGTTTATGATGCATCACTCATCGGTTTATGGAGCATCACTTATAGTCTTATGGAGCACTACTCTGGCCCTCGTTTAACAATAAAATACCGTGGCAGTTTTTAAAAGTGCTTAAACGATGAGCAATAATGATAACAAGTGAATAAAGTGGGTGAATTTCTAAAGTGGTGCTGCGTCTGTGAGGAGTAGAACTAGATCATTTGGCCTTATCAGCTTTGTTGATAATGTAAACTGATTGCCGTAAAGAGTGTTAAATTTGGCATTTGGGGCTCAGGATTTAACGTGAACCCCAAAAATAAAAAGAATAAACATTGCTTACTTGTTACGCTAGAATTGCGTAACATTTTGCAAATTGTTGCGCTAGATCTGCGTAACGTTTCCTGTTTGTAGGTGTTTTTAGCAGTTTTCACCTCAATTT